ATTTTTTTATTAGTGTTGAGTGTCTGTCTAATATTACAATGTCTCACAATTTATGTGAAAAATAATAGCTAATTTTTTTCTTTTTCCATGTAGGTAGACCTCAAAGACAACGTCTCACTGTTGACTATGTACTGGATCACCTTGATGATTCTGAATTTGATTTGTCGGAGTCAGATGACTCGAGGGATGAAATGTACAGCCCCGATAATGAGGCGCATGATGATGATGATGAACCGCATCAAAGTACTGATTACGATCATGTTGTCAGTGACGAAGATGACAATTCTGGTGTCTGCCCCTCAACGCTCGGAACAACTTCCTCCATAAAATGGTGCTCTCAAAGAGAACCATTTAATCCTAATGCCATATGGAAAGATCAACTTGATCTTGGCATTGGATTTTCATCCCCTTGCTAATATTTTCTGGAATATTTCAAGGCTGAAACATTTGAAAAATTTGTTGAGCAAACAAATATATACCATCTTATGAAAACGGGAAAAGTGTTAAATACTACTGCAGAAGAAATAACTATTATTATGGGAAACTTAAAATTTCCAAGAATTAGAATGTATTGGCAAAAAGCCACCAGAGTCAGTTCTGTTGCTGAAATCATGCCTATCAAGCTTCCCAGAGAAGAATTTAATTCAGTCGACGAGCAGATGATTCCATTCACAGGCAAAGTGCCGGCAAAACAATTTATCAAAGGCAAACCAACTCCAGTAGGAGTGAAATTTTTTTTTATCTGTGGCAAATCTGGACGAGCCATAGACTTTGAACTTTATCAAGGAGCAGGAACTGGAATTCCTGAAAATAAGAAACATTGGGACTTGGCGCTTCAGTTGTTCTCCGTCTAACACAAAGCATCCCCCGGAACAAAAACTACAAACTTTGTTTTGACAATTATTTTACTGGACTTCCTCTCATTAAGGAATTACAATGTTTAGGGATTTGTTGATTTATTCTTTAGGAGTTGTTAAATCCAACAGAATGATGGGATGTGTTCTGAAATCAGAAAAAGACCTGAAAAAAGATGGTCGTGGAGCAACAGACTGTAAAGTTAGTGCAGAAGGGGATATTTGTATGGTCAGATGGATGGACAATAAACCAGTTACAATAGCTTCCAGTTTTGTCAGGAAGACCTTGATAAAGTTCGACGCTGGAGTGTGAGCAGCAAAGAATTCATTTCTGTTGATAGACCAAAATGCATACAGGTCTATAATGACTTTATGGGCGGAGTGGACAAAATGGACTTTCTAATTTCAAAGTATAGGATTAAAGCTAAGACAAGGAAATGGCCAGTTCGAATGATATTTCATTTTGTAGACTTTGCACTTTCAAATTCATGGTTAGAGTATCGTGACATTGAAATTCAAAATCGTACGCCTAAAAAAAATATTTTGGATCTTCTTGGTTTTAGGAGTGAGGTTGCGGGCATGTTGATGAAGGCATGCTTGGTCACACCACAGCTTTGCCGACCTGTTGGTAGACCCAGAGCACTAGCAGTTATTGATGATTTAAATACTGTAATTCCTTGTCCAAAGCGAGCAAAGGCTGCAGAGAGACCAGTATCAGAGGTCCGATATGATCAGTTCCGTCATTTTCCAATCTGCATCAAAGAGTTAGGCCAAAGGTGCAAACTAGAAGGATGTAAAGGTCGTAGTAGGTTCAAATGCACTAAGTGTAATCTATTTCTGTGCTGCAATAGTGACAAAAACTGTTTTTTAAAATTTCACAACAAATGAACATCCTCCATTCTCTACCCATATCGCATTTATTTGTCGCATTTTGCTGTTGTATTAATACAAGTATTATGTAAAAATGCTTTAATACTGGTAGTCATATATTTGGCTATTTAAATAATTAAAAATTGACTTGTATTCAAATTTGACTTGGAATTGTATTATTACTATGATGTTGTCATGATGTGTTATTATTTTATTTTACTGCATTGATACACAATGTGTACATATGTACACATGCATTAATTTGCATAATTAATGAGCAATGGTCAAAACCTTAATATGGCCATATCAGGATGTCCCAAATATCAGGTCCCAACCATTAAATAATTTTTTGTGATGAAATTCTGAGTCCGTCTCCGAAGGGGATAATTATAGTTCTTTTGTTTTGTTATTGTATTAATTACTTAATAAATCTTAATTAATTGTAACTGGCAACTGTTTTGGGTGTCCTATCTTTGATATTGTTGACTCTATGGTATCGTCCTTTGTTAGGCACTGTTTACAACGAGCCAATAAAATTAAAATAGGAGATTAATTTCTCATATTAGAAGCCAGTGTATTCTTAAAGATCTTTTAGTTTGTTATTAAAGACCATAATCTAAACCCTGTCTTGTTAACAGTGGACATTAGATTAAACTGATGCTGGCCTCTCAGATTGTCAGCCGACTGTTTCTACAGGTACTTTCTTTCCTCAAATCAATGTCATGAAGCTAATTCTATTGAGGTTCCTTTTATTTATTTATTTTTTAAAAATTATTTTTAAAAAAAATAAATTATGTCATAGTTGATAATGCTATTTATTTATTGGACAGTACTTTATGAGCAAGTGAAAGAACATAGCAACAATTCATAAAGTGCTACAAACACCTCCCGCGTAAGGCATTGTTGAACAACAACAACAACAACAACAACAACAACAACAAAAATACAAATTTGCTGACAAATGTGGATATCTCAGATATTGATGTGACGTAACACTTACTTCTATTGTACATACGCCACCTTGCAAAATATCGCCACTGTACGCTCTTACATTTTTACACTGAAATCAATGTCTGGGTGTTTTTACTAGTATAGTAGTACCCAGTAGTTTATCTTTTAATTTTTCTGAAAATTCCAGTCAGCGTTGTAGCTGGAGAAAGAAGTTGTTTTTTGTTTTTTCAGTTCTGAGCCTAAATTGACTTAAACATATGGTTTAGATCATCTATGAATCAGGAGAAGATGTCAGATGTCTAGTATTTTATTCTTCAACCCAGTTTTTAAAAAAAAGTGAATTGTAGAATAATATCTAGTATTTTATTCTTCAAGCCAGTTGAAAAAAAAAAGTGAATTGTAGAATAATATCTAGTATTTTATTCTTCAAGCCAGTTGAAAAAAAAAGTGAATTGTAGAATAATATCTAGTATTTTATTCTTCAAGCCAGTTGAAAAAAAAAAGTGAATTGTCGAATAATATCTAGTATTTTATTCTTCAAGCCAGTTGAAAAAAAAAAAAGTGAATTGTAGAATAATATCTAGTATTTTATTCTTCAAACCAGTTGGAAACAAATTTGTTGTAGAATAGTATTTAGTATTTTATTCTTCAAGTCAGTTGCAATCCCATTTACACTTTTAGCAATTAAAAAGTTGTTTAGTAACTCAAGCAACAGGAAAACGAAAGTCAGATTTTTTTTTCCCTCTATTAGCGTTAGAGGTCGTTCATAAAGTATATTCACAAAGATGGAAGATTGGGCGGGGCTTGGGGGGATGTCATTCAAAATAGGGAAAATACGGACCAGGTTGGGGGGGGGGGTCGTTCAAAAGAGGGAAAATACGGACCGGGTGTGGGTGGTGTGTATGTAAAGAGTCTTGTGGACTTCTGCAAGGCTAGCATGTTTTGTTACATGCCAATGCTACTTTTGGTCCACGACATGTACTCCAGTATGTTTAAAAGTTTTAAATGACGGAGTCCTCCACACCTGATCTATTTGCTAAATATTTGAAATACTAAACCACAAATAAAGTTTTTTAAAATTGTTGTTTGCAACTGAATTCTGAATTAATTTTTTTAAAAGATTTTTTACATGAAAAATACGAAGCACACTGAATTGTGTTTTAGCTTTTTTTTTTTTTTTTTACCCCTAACCATATTAACGTGATTAAAATTCTACAACATATAATCTTCTCTATCTTACATTAATCATTATTTTTGTAATCATGTGACAACCATGACAAAGTTCACTGGAAGATGAATATCGACTTTACTTCGCCATTCCAATGTTTTTACTTCTGTGTGCCATTGGGACTTGTATCATAAGAATCACACATTTCATGTGGCACAATGACCACATCATATGACATTAAAAGACATTTTTATGACGTCAAGGGACATTTTATGACATTAATCTTCATTAAGTAAAGTTATATGGCATTATATATGACATAATAAGGGTCATCCACAAATAACGTCATACACCTACGTGGGTTGACGATCTTGAAATTGTCACCATTTATTACGAGGGTATCTAAACTATGTTACAAATTGTATGACAATGGGTTGTGGGGGGGGGGGTTCCCAAAATTGGCCCATATGGCGTCACGTCTTTATTGGATGGCCCCCATATGACATTATTCATTATGGGACGTAAGGAACAGGGTAGACATTATATGAGATTAAAATATATGATTGAATATGTATGGGATTACGTTAAAAAATACATTTGACATCATGTGACACTTAAGTGAAATGGTTGACATAGTAAGTCGTGCATCATAAATAAAGTAACCATATAGTTTATTGATTGACAGTATGACGTGAACCTTTTGATGTAGCCTATATAAACGCAATGGAACATTGCATGACAAGGTTCATGACATGTGAAAGGGTGTGGTGGGGTTGGCCGTTCAACTATCAATATGATCTGAAGTGTGTAGTGTAACTGGTAGTTTGGCCAAAGGATCTGCATTGTGTTTTATGACTATCCATTTGATATAAATTGTGTAGTTTACTATCTATGTGATATGAAATTTGATATGAAGTGTGTAGTTTGAATATCCATGTGATCATGTGATATGAAGCGTGTAGTTAACCATCGATTGACCAGGGTATTTGATTCAGCTGAGCAAGTCTGTACCGTCCAATGTTGGGGTGGGGAGAGGGCTCGTAGACATCCTTGGCCCGGTTGTGGATCTCCTTGAGGCGCCCCACGATGTCCTGGACGGCTGCCTGCTTCCGCCTCACGTTGCCTTGATCTCTGGCGTTCTGCTCCATCAGCTGGCGGATGGCGATCTCCTCTTGCCTCAGCACGGACATGGCCTGCTGGTTGTGTTGGTCCTGGTCGGAGAAGGCCTGCACAGAGAACAATGGGTCTTGGTCAAAGGAATGTTACGTCTATAGCTCAGAGATAGTGGGTCTTATTACATAGAATTGTATGTCTGTAGTACAGAGAATAAGGAGAGTTTAGCACAGAGAAGGGTGCGTCTTCAGCTCAGAGAATGGTGGGTCTTTAGCACAGAGAATGGTAAGTTTTGAGCTCGGAAAAGGGTGCGTCTTTAGCCCAGTGGGTCATGAGCACAGGGAATGGTGAATCCTTAGCATAAAAATGATCAGTCGTAAGCAGAGAGAATGATGGATCTTTAGCACAGAGAAAGGTGGGTCTTAAGCACAGAGAATGGTGGGTCTTTAGCACAGAGAAAGGTGGGTCTTTAGCACAGAGAAAGGAGGATCTTTAGCACAGAGAAAGGTGGATCTTTAGCACAGAGAAAGGTGGGTCTTTAGCACAGAGAAAGGAGGATCTTTAGCACAGAGAAAGGGGGGTCTTTAGCACAGAGAAAGGTGGATCTTTAGCACAGAGAAAGGGGGGTCTTTAGCACAGAGAAAGGTGGGTCTTTAGCACAGAGAAAGGTGGGTCTTTAGCACAGAGAAAGGTGGGTCTGTAGCACAGAGAAAGGTGGGTCTTTAGCACAGAGAAAGGTGGGTCTTTAGCACAGAGAAAGGTGGGTCTTTAGCACAGAGAAAGGTGGGTCTTTAGCACAGAGAATGGTGGATCTTTAGCACAGAGAAAGGTGGGTCTTTAGCACAGAGAAAGGTGGGTCTTTAGCACAGAGAAAGGTGGGTCTTTAGCACAGAGAAAGGTGGGTCTTTAGCACAGAGAAAGGTGGGTCTTTAGCACAGAGAAAGGTGGGTCTTTAGCACAGAGAAAGGTGGATCTTTAGCACAGAGAATGGTTGGAATTAAGCACAGAGAATGTGACATTGTTGTACACATGCAGCTAAGACTGAAGAGGACTTTAAATAGTTCAAAATATGATGGATCCGTGATATACCGTTTTGTTTTTAAATTACTATATATTTGTTAAAAATCTTTTTGATTTCTTCGATTGCCGATGACTCGCTTGAAAGGTATATTGTTTATGTCCCCTAGAAATAGTAGGATGTGTAAAGATATAGTACGGTGTGTAAAGATATAGTACGGTGTGTTAAGTTATAGTAGGGTGTGTTACGATATAGTAGGAAGTGTTAAGAGTTTTTAGCTTGTAATAAGAATTTAATTGGCAGATGTGTGGATTTGTTTGCCATTGCTTCGTATTACGAAGTGAGTTAGGTTAAGTAAGTGGCACTATGAGGTCGATACTATTTTTACAACTAACTGTATTTAATTTGCACGCTTAAACGAAATCATGGTTCATTACATTAGGTTTTAAATTACGATATGTTTTAAACGTTGAGTGTATACTGTACATAAGATGTCCAATTTAATAAGGTACAAAATATGTCCTATTTAATAAGGTACATAATATGTTCTATTTAATAAGATGTACTATTTAACAATGTACATAAGATGGCATATTCAATAAGGTACACAAGTTTCCTACTTAACAGATACATAAAATGATCTGCTTAATGAGGTACATAAGATGATCTACTTAATGAAGTACATAAGATGACCTACTTAATGAGATACATTAGAGGACCTACTTAATGAGGTACATAAGATGACCTACTTGATTCAAGCCGTATAATGTTAGCGGGATTTCCTCCCTAACTCGGGGGAAGGGCACTGGATGGTGACTGGGCAGACCAGGCAGACGTCCAGCTTGACCCGCCATTGTCATAGAGTCAGCCAAGAGTGTTCTTGCATGAATTGTTCCCCTTGCGGCCAATTCTGGCTCGTCCACGGGCTCTCTGTTTGATAAACAGTTCAGTGTTTGTAAAAAGATAAACAGTTCAATGTTTGCAATCTTAGCGACAACACAGTTATGCTGCTAGTTTCACAATAATTAGTCAAGATCAGTGGCGTAGCTAAGGGGGTTCAGGGGGATGAGGACCCCACAGGATGAAACCATCTCAATTGAAAAATGGCATTTTCCCAGAGCTCCCACTGCTCGGTCTGACAGAGCTCCCACTGCTCGGTCTGACAGAGCTCCTACTGCTCGGTCTGACAGAGCTCCCACTGCTCGGTCTGACAGAGCTCCCACTGCTCGGTCTGACAGAGCTCCCACTGCTCGGTCTGACAGAGCTCCCACTGCTCGGTCTGACAGAGCTCCCACTGCTCGGTCTGACAGAGCTCCCACTGCTCGGTCTAATCGAACTTCTTAAAAGGATAAACGATCTCACGTAATTGTTCAAAACATGCAACCAATTAAAAGTTGATGCGTCAGAAATGAGGCGACGCTATAACTAGGTCAGAAAAACACCGTTCTGGACGTGATGCAACGCCGTCAGAAGTGTCCGGTAACTTTCTGAAGTGACCGGAAGTTTGATTCATCTAAATTCTGAAAAAAATAAGGCTTTCCTTTGATACCAAATACCATGTGGTCGCACGATTCCAAGTGCATGTAATAGTTGCTAAATAAATTTACCCCCTAACCTTCAATTAACTTGTTTCTGCTCTTGTCATTGTTATACTGTTGGCTTATTTTAACAAGAAGAAATCCATAATGGAATTGGTTTTTTTTTTTTTGGGGGGGGGGGGGGACACCATGAGTTTACAGCACCGGGTGACCCCAACCCTAGCTACGGCACTGGTCAAGATCAAACTTTAATATATTGAATTACACTAATTTTGACCCCAAGCTGTGGGTAAAACTTCGGTCAACAAATTCAGTGTCTTCCCTCCGCAATGTCATCAAAAACATATTTGCGAAATTGAAACCTTTTTAGAAGCAGATTTTTAAATAAACAACAAACTCATCATCATCGTCCTTCACCTTGCTTTCAGCAAGGACCCCAGGGACATTCCATTTTCGTAGCCACCGCTGTACGCAGTAAGGCTCTTCCGGTTGTCCGACCTCTGAAGGTCATATTTGTTTCGCCTGTTGCTGAAGTAATCGTTGGCCAGGTTTTGCTGCCTCGTGTGGCTGGCTCTGTACCGGTGCCCTATGTCGTCCATACTTTTTCCTCTCTGAAAACAGACGTACTTTGTAAGCTCACCTGAATCTAACTTGGGAGCTAATTTTATTTCATTCATTTTATTGCTGAGTTTTTACTAACGGGTCACTTCTAATGACTTATCTCTACCCTTACCCAAACAGTAAAGATAGTGTTATTGATTAGGACGTGACGAAAGGAAGACAGCAATACAAGTTTTAAAAATCCGGAAAAGCAACAATCCATGATAGGTGTTTAATAATTTTTTTTCTTTGTTGTTTCAAAAACAACTTACAGCATGAATTGTGATCCTCCACCACAGGGTTTCTTTCAGCTATATCCCCGGGGGGGGGGCTGTTTCCCCCCCCCCCCCGGGGAAAGCCAAGTGCCCCCCGGAGCAAAAATATGTCCAACAATAAATCAACTGGCACTGCTGGCACTGTGCCCCCTCCCGAAAAATCTGAAGTGCCCCCCACCCCTGGGGGGAAATTTCTGAAATAATCACTGCTCCACCTTTCCGCCCCCAAAAGAACCCACAATCTGGGTTACTAATGCATAGTTAATCTTGAGCTCAATGAGTCCAGTTGAAATAATCCATAGTAATTTCTTAAATTAACTCAGTCGCGGTTGCTGTTTCAATTAGCCCTAGCACCACCGAACTGTTTATCCCAGCACCATAAAATATATTTCCCCAGCACCACTGAACTGGTTTATCCCAGCGCCATAAAATATATTACCTCAGCGCCACCGAACTTACCCCTGCACCAGCACTGACATCTGTATCCAGAATATGGTCCACGATCCAACCGTGCCCCGTGCTACGGAGAACTTCTAGAAACTTCTTCAGTGACGTAATGCCCCTGTTCTCCAAACATCCAATGAGAACAGGAACCTGCTTATGAGCTGGCTCTAACTGAAGTGGATTACGGGAAAGGGAAATTTCTCCATTATTAGAAATAACAAAAAAGATATTTTGAGAACCAATGAAGAAGACATTAAGGGTCATTATTTATTATGTACTCTCATGCTCAGTGCACACGATCAGAGTTTCGTCAAATTTCTTTTTGAACTCACTTCTTAAGTAAAACAAAATAGTGTTTTGAAAAAGAAATGTGCTTCAAATTTGACGAAAATCTGATCGTGCGAATTGAGCATCAGAGCTTGGACTTAGTGTAAGATGTGGTGAGACGCGGTGTCAAAGGTTGGGTTATGTCGGATGGTTCAATTAGGTCAGCACAAAATGGATCTCCAAATTTGCTAAAAATGTTTTTAACCGTGGCTATTTGAGACTGGAACTGTTTCACCCGATCACCGTTATTCTTAATTTTTTACCAACCAACAAAATTGCACAGCTCAGATTTACATATATTTTACACACACACACACACACATGCACGCACACACACACACGCACCCACACACACACCCACATATATATATAAATATATATGTATATATATAGAGAGAGAGGTTTTTTTTCGAATTCCACATTGTCATTGTCATTGATTTCACCGTTTTGTTTAAAGAAATATTCCTTCAGTCCTGCTCATCGGCTGGTGAATAGAGCATCGACCAAGGATTCTGATAGGCTACATTGCTGCAGTCATGCACTGGCCTATGTGCAACAGTTTGGGAAACGTTGCGGCCATCCTATCGGCTCCTAGCGGGTGCCAGGGCAGCCTTGAAACACATGGAGGTACTCCACTTCTGTCTTTCAACTAATTCTGTCGGAGCTTTCCGCAGGTTTACATGCTGTAGACTAGTCTTTATCGGTCTCTGAAGGATTTCTTTGGGCCTTCATCGGCATTATTTCCCCTTTTCTTTTCGTAGCAGTTTTGTGCTGTCCCGGGAAATAAGCTTGTTGGCAGTTTAAAAATATGGTCGATTCATCTCCGGTACCGGTACCGGTACTCCAACGATATCTGCAATGATTGAATTTCTTCTGAGACGCCTCAGTTCTTCATTGAAGGTTATATTTGGTCAGTGGATTCTCCAGGTTCTTTATAAATTTTTGGTCGGTAGAACTGCTAGCTTCGACTCTAACATGCTACTGGTCACGGTTTTAATGGAGAAGATTTCGTTCGTTACTATTCTCAGTTTCTTTAGTTAACCCTTCAAAATCTATTTTTAATTGAAATGCTCCAAACCTTGTACGTGATTACCTCTCACAAAGTATACGCAGATTTCACATATCTACTCTCCACCTCCTACAAACCTTTACACACACCTGATTTACACATCTAACACACCAACTCCACACCTTTACACATATCTGATTTACATATTTAATACACAAACTCCACACCTTTACACAGACCTGATTTACACATTTATCACACCAGTTCCACACCTTTACACACACCTGATTTACACATTTAATACATCAACTCCATACCTTTACATACACATGATTTACACATTTAACACACCAACTCCACACCTTTACACACATCTGATTTACACATTTAATACACCAACTCCACACCTTTTCACACACCTGATTTACATATTTAACACACCAACTCCACACCATCACACACACCTAATTTACACATTTAACACACCAACTCCATACCTTTCACAAACCTTCCACACACATATTCCACATCACTCCACACACCTGCCCGACACTCTCCACTCACTCACCCTCCCAACATCCGGTGTTTCTTCCAGGCATCTCTCTGGGGAGGGAGGTAGTGCCCCCGGAAAAGTCAACTGCCCCCGCCCTTGCCCCCGGAGAATTAATGTGTACAATGATGAATAAATATATATGTTATTTAAAAAATACTAAATTAAAAATTATTGTATAACAATTTAATTTTTTTTTAAACTGGTGCCATCAACCGATTACAATTGGTGAAGCCTATGAGATATCCTTACGTTCCATATACTTCATGATCCGTATAGTAAGACAAATCTGGTTAGAGCAGCAGTTCTCGGCATGTGTGTTGTGACCCCGTAGAGTATTTTGTTTAACGCTAGGGGACAACATTCAGTTTCACGCTCCCCCCCCCCAACTCTGAAACCTATTATTTTCTTGTACTAAATACCATCAAAGCCCAATAGTGCAGACCCGCTAGTCNCCGGGGTTTTCCGTCCCCCCCAGCCCCCCCCCCCCCATTTTCACTATCTTACAACTGTTACTGCCCACCCGAAATTATACCCCCCCCCAGGAAAATGTCTAAAGGAATCATTGCCTATATCTTCCATACATCTGCTACATACGCACCTACCCCCCTCCTGCCACGCATCTTTCTCATTTTCTCACCCTACTTCCCTTTTACCGAAAGGCTCACCAAGATTTTCCTCCTGGTGACGTCAGTAATTAGACCGTTACTTTTCAGGTTATCTAAAACTGTTTTCGACAGGACCAGATGGCGTCGCAGTAAGAATTCATTTTGTCTCAGGATCGCCCGAACAATGGCCACATCTGACTCCATAGTGGGAATCTACCTAAGACAGACAGTAAAAAAACAAACAACTAGTTAATAATGTTGTAAAATTAAATCATATTCATTATATCAGGGATTTGGAGCGGAGCTTAGCTCTGAGCTCCGGGGCAAGGTGAAATGCTGGAGCTGGTCAAAATTCTTACTGCTCCGAGTTCCAAAATATTTTTTTTCATGATTTAAAAAAGAATATAGTCTAACGTGTTGATTGATGCCATTTTCTTCTACCAGATATGTTTTCCCACTTTTCACCCAGATATGTTGTCCCACTTTTCACCCAGATATGTTGTCCCAGCAGCAGTGTGTCTTGTGAGTTTCACAGTGCTCTTTATGCAGTCTACGTCGCGGTAGTTTGTCAGAAATTTCATTGTGTCAATGTCATACCGCCTAGGGGACCCCATCTCTGGGTTTGATTTCGGAGTTTGCCTTCTCTTGGATGAGTTGCTGTCCAAGGTTAACGAGTCCCATCCACAAGTGTTTGCTGGTGTTGTTTTTGCTCGTCTAGGCTTTTGCTGGAACTCCAGTCCACAAACTTGTGATTGACTTAGTTTAGACCGCGGAGCACAATATTTAACACTAGAATAAATGACCCGATGTTATCGGGATAGTAATGGTAGGTCCTTTGCGAAAATGTCTACCTGCTATTGCACAAACTCATCACAATTCCTAACTTTAAAAAGAAGTATCTATGTAATGATATTTACGTTTCTAGCATCATTGAGTTTTGAGAAGTATTTATCTGCTATATGTTATACGCCTACCCTACTCCCTTTCACGCCCCTAAATTACTCACCCCCCCCTCTAAACACGACCTTAAATTAACAAATCTAAATTATTCATAATTTTATCACTTTTGTAACTAAAGAAATTATTGAAGGACAATTTCTACGCCAGAGAAATACTTAAGATTTACCTCTTTTCGTGCCCTTGAATTAAAATTGTTTTTTCTCCAAAAAATTTTTAAAAACATAATCTTAAATTTACAACAAAAACTCTATATATGATGTACCGGTATATATTTTATATTAAAGGAATTTGATATATTGATATCTTCATCAAAACTTTAAACACACTTTTGCATTGTTTTTTTTTTTTTTTAAATTATACATTATCATAAAATAGTAAAACAAAGAATTATTTTATCTAAAATTTAATATATTGATATCTTCATCAAAACTTTAAACACACTTTTGCATTGTTTTTTTTTTTTTAAATTATACATTATCAGAAAATCGTAAAACAAAGAATTATTTTATCTAAAGAAGAAACTCGCAACCATTTTTCACGCCTATGAGTGCCTTTTGTTTTTTAAATTGTTAATCTCGTAAAAAGTCACCCCACTTTACTTTTCGCAAAGTAAAAACGAAAATATATTTTAATTAAAAAAAAAAAAAAAAAAAAAAAAAAAAAAAAAAAAAAAAAAAAAGAAAGAAAATTAAATATTAGGTCTAAATCATCTCCATTTTTCAACATTAAATTTTCAATTGTGAAAAATGCATGGGTTTTGATATTCATGAGTATACTAATATAAATATACCACGTTTTGTTAACGCCATTGATTTTATTAATTGGTAAACATATGTTTATTTGTAAAAAGAGAATGCAACAACTCTTTGTTCACAAATGTAATACCATAGGATTTAAATATATTCTCATCCACGTAAAAATGTATGCATCCTATTTCCTACCTCCGATATGTATGTACCCAAGAAGAATAATTATTTATCAAATTCATTCCTTTATTTTGAGACGTATCTTGTACTGCCTGGGGCAAAATGACCACCCACCTCCCCCACCCACGATTTAAATAGAATTAATAAAATCTTCCACCGGATTGTAGTCCCTTCCACACCCCAACTAACATAGTTTGCACGTCATATGGATTGTTCTTATTTGGATGAGTTGTAAGTGAATTAGTGAATACTATTTGGCTATGGAGTTTCGCTGCACTGATTACCTTAAACGGCATTTTCTTATTAGAAGTATATTGAAAGGTTAAGTTTTTATTACATTATAAATTTAATAAAAGTGTATTTTTGGAAATCAAAAAACGCAAATAACTTATTAAATGTTAAAAATACAAAGCTAAAATGTGTGTGTTTTATAAACAGTTAAAAAAAACAATCGATTAGACTACATTTATTAATTTTACTTTTAAGAAGGGGGAAATACATTATCAGTTTTGTAACGCTCGGTTATTAAATCAAAGAAACTTAAGAGTTTTGGCCAACACGGGCGATTCACACTATGACGTCATTTGCGTGTTTATTTAAAACAAATTGATTTTAATTTTATTTCGCAAGATAAACAACGCACTAAAAAACGCACTAAAAACTGCTGATTTTTGGGTTTTCCCCAAAAATGTGATTACGATGTAATTCTTAGATCATAATCTTTTTATTAATTAAATTTTTCCCCATAACTTTTAAAATCGGATAAAATGCTTAAAATAGTTCATTAGTTGTTACTTTAAATTTATTTGTAATTTATAATAATAATACTTAAACTGTCACTAAATTAAAAGCGTATTTATGTTATTTTTGCGCATTTAAATTTATTCGATTTCGGTAAAATAATAGAAAATAACTATGATTGTTTTTAAGAATCCGAATGTATTTAAATATTTTCATTTTTTTTTTTGGGTGTTACGGTCAGCATAGCTCATTCTTATATATATCACGTGTTTGCCACCCCTGCACTATTCTCTCTAGTGTCTTTTGGCATTCTGTCTGGTGGAACTCTTTCTGGTGGAACTCAGTCTGGTGGCAGTCTGTCTGATGGCACTCAGTCTTTTGGCACTCAGTCTGGTGGAACTCTTTCCATTGGCACCCTGCCCGTGTGGCATACTGCTCTGGTATTTTACTTAGATATGTTATGACACCAACTCGAGCGAGCTCTTTCAAATTTTCAATTTCCCCTTCGGTGTCACCAGCGTTGTCAGCCCTCCGTAAACATTTACTAACATTCCTTAAAAAACATGACCCCAAAACTTAAAGTTCTTGTGGACATTAAAGGGCACATTTTTTTTTTTTTTTGGTCGTTCATATTGTTAATGTCCGTAAAAACGTATATATTTTTTTTCTTTTAAAAACGAATGCATTGTACAAACATTAGAAAAAAAAAATATCTGCCATAGAATAAACAAACCCTTAAAAAAAAAATTAAAGGGCTCTTTTTTTTTTTTTTTTGGTCGTTCATATTGTTAATGTCCGTAAAAACGTATATATTTTTTTTCTTTTAAAAACGAATGCATTGTACAAACATTAGAAAAAAAAAATATCTGCCATAGAATAAACCAACCCTTAAAAAAAAATAGTCTCATGGTAAAATGGCATAGTTTTCATTGCAACAGGAAGTAGTCATAGAAATAGAGAGTAGTCATTAGGGTGTTTCATTTTTTTAAGGCTTAAATGTTTGAACAACACAACTGTAACATGTGTGCTAAAAACGTTGCTTGTTGGTAAATGTGTAGATTGGGAATCGTTATCCCTCGATTTATATTTTATTGAATTGGCAACCCTGGGTGCAAAAGAAATATTGCAGGGCACCACAAGAGGAGGGAGAAGAAGAGGAAGACAAAGAAAAAGATGGGAGGATAACATCAAAGAGTGGACAGGACTAACACTGGGCGATGCAGCGCGTAGTGCTGAAGACAGAGAGGAATGGAGGAGGATGGTTCACATGTCATCTGTGGCGCCCCAACGGTCCAAGGACTAAGGGACATGAGGATGAGGAGGATGAGGAACCCTGGGTGTCACACCATTGTTAGGATGTCACCCAGTGCGGCCCTCAACAACCCCCCCCCCCAGTTACGCAACTGACCAAATCCACACTTCATAGGGGGGAAACAACTAAACACCAGTGGTGAGGCGTAGTAATACAACTGATAGTGGACGGTCTCCGACTGCTTTCGGCTCCGTGATACTCGAGCAATATGACATGACGTCCTAACGTCACACTAATATGAAGTACAAAACTGGGACTTCACTGCTATAAACACGGTACATTTGTTTACAATTGACAGGCACTGTCCTACTGAAGAATTCTCCCCGTAATTGATGAACGTCTACCAATGACATCACCGAATCAATATATTTTCAGACGAACGGTGTATCGATTATAATTCCATATCCAAACAAGTGTAAAAGTACAAGTTACGTCTATAGATCTCACCCCTAACAATGCAGTCCACGCAGTACAGTCAATCTAGACGGTTGAGGTCATTCAATAGTTGGAGTTGATGAGATCATATCAAAACTGTCACTGAGTGCCCATGATGTGGTGCTGCGGTGATGAGATCATATCAAAACTGTCACTGAGTGCCCATGATGTGGTGCTGCGGGGAATCAAATATTTAACGTTGACTTTTTTGTTAAAGTTGAAACAAGTTGAAATATATATATATAATGTTAGATCAAAAATATTATATACTGTTAGAACTATAATATATTTAATGTTAGAACTACAATAAATATAAAGTTAGAACTTCAATATATATATATATATATATATATATATATATATATATATATATATATAATGTTAGAATTACAATATATATGTATAATATAATGTTAGAACTACAATATATATGCGATGTAATGTTAGAAAGACAATTAATATAATGTTTTATGATGTTAGAACTACAATATTATATAATATATTGTTAGAACTACAATAAATATGTTATATAATGTTAGAACTACAATTAATATAATGTGAAATAATGTTAGAAATACAATATATATAATATTTGAAATGTTGTTATTACTGAGGCCCTTTTCTCCAATAATCCTTTCCTGTTTGAATAAATGTTTTTTTTACTTGAGTCTTTGTCTTGTCATTTAATATCACACCGGCCTACCTGCCACAAGCTAATCACAATTTACAAAATAGAAATAAAACAAGAAATACTTTTTTTAAATCAATAACACAACAAAGTCCTGCCACATGTAACATCAGAATAGTCCTGTGTGTTAGTTTCCGCGAGAAGTTAGATTCTGATCAGTCATCCATAAATAGACTTTCAACCACGGCGATTGAAGGGAATAAGGCAAAACTTGCTTACCAACAGCCAGTGTAAATCTAACCTTAAAATATTGACCCCTTTCATAAGCAGATAATATACAACCTTTACAAAAACACACACTGTTGAGAATAGAACCAGAGCACTGATATTCCACCTTCCTTACCCACCCCGTGGAGAATAGAACCAGAGCCCTGGTGTCCCACCCTAGGCCTACCCACCCCGTGGAGAATAGAACCCTGGCACCGGTGCCCCACCCTACCCGCCCGCCAGTTTATTGATAAGAGCATAAGAGTGACTGCCGATCGAATTTCCCCTCCAGTGACTTTCGCTATGGCTCATGCCATATCCAGCCAGCCCCGAGGCACGGCACCAGGATTATTGTGTAATATCTTGTGTGGGGTTAGCTTAGAGTGCCTTTAAAACACGGTCAGCGCCCACAGACTGTACTCAGTGCTTAAGCATCTAAGTACACTCAGAACGTAAAAAACATAACAAAGAAAGTACACATGCTTATAAAAGGGAAATGCTATGATTACCTACACTTACTTCAGTAGGAATACTCGATACCAAATAGTGACGTAATCTCCATGCTACTCAATACTCAGTAAAGTAGTCGATAACATAACAACAAGGTCTCGAGGCATTCAGTGTTTAACTAATACAGTGTTGGCAGATACAGTACTTAGTACTTAACTAACACAGTGTTGGGAGATACAGAACTCAGAACTTAAGTAATACAGTGTTGGGATATCCAGTACTGGTACTGAACTAACGCGGTGTTGGGAGATACAGTACTCAGTACTTCAACTATCAAGTACTGGATACTCGAGCAATAAAGTAATGAATATTTAACTATCTTTACACTCTGTTGTAAGCTACTGGTACGGGCCTATAACATGCCAAGACTTTCCAGTGGGTCATATCTAAACGAAAGAGGCCCCACAACAACCCGGTCTACGGTCCTGGTTTCGCACACAGACCCATGATGTTAGATATGGCCTACGGTCCCTGTCTACGGTCCTGGTTTCACACACATACCCATGATGTTAGATATAGTCTACGGTCCCTGTCTACGGTCCTGGTTTCACACACAGATCCATGATGCTAGATATGGTCTACGGACCCTGTATACGGTCCTGGTTTCATACAGGCCTGAGACGACAGTTATGGTCTACGGTCCTGTTTCATACAGACCCGAGATGACAGATATGGTTTACGGCCCTGGTTTCATACAGGCCCGAGACGACAGATATGGTGAATGGTTCAAACTAACAATTGGATTGAGTTCAATCGATAGTCGATCAGTCAAAGATATGTCCATAAAGTTATTGACACAAGTGGTAAATGTAAGCTTAAGACACCCTAAGAGATTCGTTTATAGAAGAGAGACTCTCATTCTAGTGACCATGGACCTTAAGGGATTAAGTAATATATTTGGGACAGGGGAAGATAAGAAAATATTATTTTATTGATCCAAATAAATAGCATAAAAAAAATAAAATTGCACATATTTATTTTCAGTACATACATAAATACATATTTAGAACTAGACAACCACTCTATCAAGGGGTCACTTCTTTAGGAGGCCACTACTTTAAAGGTGTCTACTTCATCATGGGGCCAACGCTTTTGACCAGGCAAGCTGCCACACTGGCCCTTCGTAAGTGTTTGGAAGTGCTGGTGTGTGTGTTTGGGAAAGTTGCACAATCAGCAGGTTTCCCAGAAAACCGTACTACCAGCACCAGTGGTTACAAACAAATTAATCAGCAGCAGGTTTTACAAAAAAACTGTACCAGAAGCAGTAGTTGCAGACTCATTTATCAGCAGTATGTTGTAAAGACAATTGCACCAATAGCAAGTTTTTACAGACAGCTGTATGTGAAAAGATGCAGTGGGATTAGTAGTTTGTATTGCGCACACTCGAAAGGGGAACAAAAAGCTTTTCTGCTAGGGTACGTTGCTGAATACATGTCCTTGCATATGTGCAACGGTTGGGGAAGCGATGCTGCTGTCCTAACGACTCCTGGCAGATGCAAGGACAGCCTTGAGGCTCTCGATTGACGTCGACGCCACGGCCGCATTGGCCAGGTGGTTCCAAGCGATGATTGTGCTTGGGAAGAATGATTGTTTATATTGCAGTGTGTTCAATATTTGTAGAAAAACCCCAGGTAAAAACAAAGAAATAAACGCCATGCTAATCTGCTCCACAAACGTCCGTCTAGTAGAATGTTTACTGTAACTTGAGTTTCAACCGATCATACGTTCAAAGAAAGAAAATATGTTGAAGATCTGTATTTTTGTTTTGTCAAAAGACTGTCATTCTTTCTACAGGTGGGGGTGAAAAAGGGGGGGGGTGCTCCTTTGATCCGGAACTGCCAACTGCTCTAATACAGGAGCGGCAACATGTATTGCGTGAGGAGCCCTTTTTGTATGGTTAAAAGAAATTTGTTTGAAAGAAATTTCGTCGACGGAAAATTGATCGACGGAAATTTGATAAAACGGGAATTAGGTCGAATCATTTTTTTTTTGATGGTGCATGACTAGCGGTGGCGCCAAAAGGGGCCTTGGTGGAATTTAATGATACAAATAGTGGTCTTCAGAGTTGAAAAGGGTAGGGGGGGGGGGTTTGAAATGAATCTTGTCCTCTGGCACTAGCTCCTTCTTTGTAGGGGTGGCATTGTCTGATAACTGCCGCATTGTTTCGTCTAAGGAATGATACAAATAGTGGTCTTCAGAGTTGAAAAGGGTAGGGGGGGGGGGTTTGAAATGAATCTTGTCCTCTGGCACTAGCTCCTTCTTTGTAGGGGTGGCATTGTCTGATAACTGCAGCATTGTATCGTCTAAGGGGAGTGCGATAGTATGATCTTTTTAGTCACCGCCTCAGAGGATTTTGACAGTTTCGAAATCAAGAGCTGCATTTTCGAGTATAGCTGAATTCAGTGTTTCTTTTGATCGGGGGACATAATTTTTAACATGCCGGATAGGCCTTATGGCGCCCAGTGCCATACACAAACTTAAACTGAGTTCACTCCTCTTGTGGCGCCCCAAAGTAATCATTCGGCAAACCTTTAAATCTTTTTGGAACCCAGAAAAGTAAAAAAAAAACAACTTAAAATGCAAGAATGCATTTTAGAACACATGGATAATTATTTTTGTACCACTTAAAACTTAATTGAAGAGTAACGGAAGAGATGCTGGTTAAAAGTGTAGGTGTCATTTAACCTCAGACCCATCGTGTTGGTCCCGCAAACCCAACGGTTGCGGGGAACCTCGGACATTTTAGTATCAACTTTGAATGTAAGGTGGAGGAAGACAAAACAGAAAAGTGGCAGGGCCCTCGGAAACGTAAGCGTCGGCTCTGTTGGACCTGCTTCTGTTATATAAATAAACAAACAAACAAATACATACATAAATAAATAAATATATATCTTCATTTTCATTTTATCAAGCTCAACATACATGGAGTCGAGTACACTTAAAATTATGCTAATGACAAATACCAGGGCTTAACCGAGGGCAGTTTTTTTTTTTTAACATCGTGTCCGGGTATTTTGAGGAAATACCCGGTGGGTCCAAGTGTTACCAAAAAAAAGTGTATTTCTCATTTTCTTTTAATTTTCTATAAATTAAAATAGGCCCACAAACAGTCCTACACCTTACCTGCCGGCCTTTAGACAATAGGCTTAACAGACAGTCCTACAGAGTCCCAGACAGTCCTACAGAGTCCTACAGAGAGTCCTACACCATGTCCGTGGCTCATGTTTTAAATAATACAATAGTCGCCGCCTAAAAAAAAAATCAAACTTTTAATCCGAGTTTAACCGTCACGCATGACGGACGCTGCTCAACATCTGCCCCCTCACGCATGACGGACGCTGCTCAACATCTGCCCCCTCACGCATGACGGACGCTGCTCAACATCTGCCCCCTCACGCATGACGGACGCTGCTCAACATCTGCCCCCCTCAACCCACCCTCACTCGGTAATATTAATTAATAAAATATGTTGAGTGGGGGGGGGGAGAGCTGGTTGTGAAAAGAATGCATCCATACTAGAAGCAACATACATATAAGAGATACTTTTTAAAGCGGTGATTCGATCATACAATTTATAGTTAACATTTATACCTACTTTAAAAGTCTGAAGAAATATAATTTGGAAACAGAATGCACACCTTTGATACTTAGCAAGAACTATATTAAAATTATAGATCTGGATACTGATGGCCCGGTAGTTTAATATCGTGTTATTGACCGTCTTTAATGAAGTGAAGTTGCAAAACATGATTAAATATAGATAAAAATATACGTGAGCAATAAGAAGTAAGACTTTGGCTCACAATCGGGAGCGGCCAATTCTCCAAACAGTACGATATTTTTAAGGCGAATAGTGTAAGCGGCCAACAAGAGTACCATGTATAAATCATCAAATATATCGAGTGTACCCATATATAATTGATTCCAATAAATGTAATCGGTTAATGGCACCAGCTACAATTATTTTTAAAAAATGACAACTTGGTACTTTTTTTTTTGGTATAAAATATATTTTTGTTTTATTGTTGTAGAGAGCACAAAAGTAAAGCAAGGACTGTAACCGATTATAGTCCTTTAGAAATTGATATTTTTGGGTTATTGGACTTGGTATTTGATTTTAAAATATCTTCTTCTTTTTTTTTAATGGTCATTCATTTTTCGTCCACAATCTATAACTTATTTTTATATTCATATTTGGTCAGACCTTTATGATTATAACAATTTCAACTATTATAAAATTGACACAAAAATGCCATTTCTTTAACGTACACAAAAGGCCCTCTAAATATAAATAACTTTAAATGTTCAACTGGTAAATAATCCATGGTCCTCTGTCACGTGACTAATTGTTTAGCTTGACGCCATATTCTTTACTCATCTTTACTATCACCATTTCCTGGATTATAATAACTGTTTATTTCCTACAGTGTTGACACATTTTTCTGCGTTGCCAACTACATTTGCTCAATGCAATAGAAAATATACCATATCCTAGTCTCGCGCACTGAGACTTTTGCTATTTATTTTAATTCCTGTTACGTTTTGAACTTATAACTGGGTCAACCACTGACTGATTTTCACACTGCAT